TAAACTTCTGCATGGGACTAATACGAAATGATCAAATATTGAAAATATCAAATCTAAGATACTGCCAGAAAAGAATAAGTAAAGAAGCCCGTAAGTGAATAGTGAAGATGCAGAAGAAGATTTGCAATCAATTTTGAAAGAAGATTTGAAACGAAAGGTACTCAATAATGATCGAGTGGAAACAAGCACAAGGAATCTATAGAGAAGACAAAATAAGAAGGTCAGCCAGTCCATTAAATCAAAACAACAAGACCATAACTATGAAAAGGTCCATACCAGAAGAAGAAAAACTTGAAAATAAAGGTCTGAAACAAATCTTTCTAGAAGGAGTAAAGTACAGAATAAGATGGTTAGGATTTTAACTTCTATCAGAACTCATAAAGAGGATCTGCAATAGTGATCTGCAGGCAATGAAATTAATAGTTGGAAGAATTTTCATCTGAGCTACTAATGGAGCGATAAATCACCCCCGAAGTTGCACTTAGAGTGGTAATAATCAAGACGAGTGAGTTAATTAGAAATTTAACTTTAGCAATTCATTTTACATGTATAGTATACTAATGTTTAATAAAGCACACATAATTAACCTGACAGAGAATTAAAAAAAAAAAATCAAAATACAGTAATTGAAGTGATATAATTATTATAAGTAGTTAATATTTCTTTTGTTCTTAAATTTAAAAAATTTTTATAATGATTGTTCTATTTTACTGATTTTATTGTTTAGTTATTAGAATTTGTTATTCTGAATTGTGATCTTCTTTTTTAGTATCTGAGATGTTTGATTTATTTATTTTATTAATAGAAAATCAATCTTTTTTTTTATTAAAAAAAGTTCTCTTTATAAAAACTTGAGGTTCACTATACTATAAGTCATTTATACTATCATAAATCATTGCATATAATATCCTGGATATTAATCAATTTACTCTATAATAAATTAATTAGTACTCAAGGGAATATTCTACTAGAAGGGGGGTAGTATAGATAGTATGATATTTAGAATCTTATTATTATCTGATATATCTCTTACTTGTCCATTCATATTGTAATTTTATTGGTTCTAGCTTAATATATCCGGATAGTAATCATTTATTGATTAACAATTTTCTTGATATTACCGGATATTATTTAAGGGGGGTATTACTTTAGGAGGTATTGTATGCAATGGTTTATAATAATATAGATGAATATAGAATATAAAATCTCCTATGTTATTGACTATTAGAAAAGAACAAGTTAGAATAGGATATATTGGATAAATACACAAAAATCTTTTTTTTTTCTTTTATTTAATAAACATAATTTGATAATTCAGATATTATTTTTTTAAAGGATTTTGTTATATTCATTCTTTTATTGTAAACTAACAATAGTATCAATTAATAATCAATGTTTTCATGATAAGATTCATATAAATCTCTTTCTCCTTTAAAATTTTTTATTTTAATACTAATGAAATTAAGACTCTACATAAAAAATTCCCAACATTATTGATATTGAATATTTTTGATAAATTCTTAGCATATTAACTTCTTTTGTGAGATAGCAATAAATCACTTGATAGGTTTAGATCCTAGAAAATGACATGGCATAATCAGATCTAATAATTTTTCTGGTTAATTTTGTTATAGTAAAGAGAAATATTTGTATTAGACAATCATGTAATTATCTTATTCTGATTGGATAAAATATAAATAATTTGCTTTTTATACTATTTGATGATTCCTGAATATCACCTTTATCATAAAAAAAAATTTAAGAAAAAGCTTTATTATTTAATTCAATTGTTTTGAAAATCAAAATAGTTTCATAGAAAAAATTTATCTTTGTAAAAAAAATTTTATTATTATTATTATTATTATTAAATATTTTTTATAGTTACGGCCATACACAGTGAAAAGCATCGGAACCCGTCCGATTAAGTATTGCTTATATTAATTATTGATGTATGAACAACTTAAAAAGAATGGTTATGCCTAACTTTAATTGTTAATGTCTTAATAATGACTTAATTAATTGCAATAATTGCGTCAAAGGAATCTATTGTGTAAGGCATTGGCCTAGTATTATTTTATCCAACAAATAAAATTCGTCCCGTTATATATGAATTCACATTATGTAGGCGTTGATATCAAAGGTATCGAACGAGAATTTTTAAAATGCCGGCATGTCCCCCGATTACGTCTAATTCCTTCGTTATCAACAGGTTTTATCCAAATCTGTGAGAGGTATCCAGTCTGAGTGTAAATCTTCAGGTGAGATTCGACACGGGTAATGTTTGCTATATATAACATTTGGAGCTACATATATAAGCATTCTGAATCAGGATAATAATTCTTAATTCCAGTGCACAAAACCAAATTTAGAAATATCCCTGATTGAAATGATGAAAGATGCTGGCACACCCTCCAACATTAAAATGCTAGTTGTTAAGCGATACAACTCGCCAAAAATGAATTGACTCCTTTTTTCTAAAAAAAGGGTTTTTTTTTCGCACAAAGGCATATATGTTTTGAATCCCAAAGAATATAATACGCGAATCCCCGAGAGATTATTAAAGAAAACTTGAACCATATTCAAACGGATCAAAAATCAATAGAAATAATAAATGTCTAACAATCCACAACAGCAACGACGAACTTCGGCGCCCAGCTTAAGGTTGTCGACCTCAAGAAAAAATTCTAATGCAGGTACTTTCACCATTTATATACTCTTTGTGACTTAATGTTTATTTGACTCTTCGGATCAACTAGAAGGACGATTGAGTCCGAATGATGGGAAAACGTGCCTCATACTATCACAATAATACGTCTGTATACATTTTTTTAGCCATGGAAGAGTCTTTAAAAACATATCGATTATTGGAAGCGCTCAGATCAGGTAGGTTTGCTATTTCTTTGATATTCCATTTTGTCGACATACTCGGCAATTCACTTTTTCTAAAACGTAATACAAAGGAGACACGGATGCACTCAGCACAATCATGTTGGCTTATCAACCGCCCGCACCTTCCTCACCCGCTTCTTCCACCTATCAATCGAACTCACAATATGCAATCCCCCCTTCGCCCCTCTTACTGGCTACTCAATGTGCTTCCTATCAGACCATAGAATTCATAACCAATAATTTCCTCGACAAAATCGATATCAATCAACAAGATCAACGGGGAAACACGGCATTGCATTATGCATCTCAGATGGGGAGGATTGATGTATGCGAATTATTGTTAAGACAAAAGAACATCAATGATACGGTGGTGAATAACGAGGGAGAGCAAGCAATAGAGATTGCTAAGAATCAAGAGACGGCAGATTTTTTGGAGGGTAATTGTGCAAGTATTTCGTTATGCATATGCAGAACACCAAAATATTCTAAATCACCGATCTTTCGTAGAAAATCGTGCGAAATATGTTGAAGAAAATTCCAATCTCTTTCGAAAATATATATCTGACTCTAACTATGTCGGCATCCAAATGTTATTTCAAGATCCTCGTGCCTTGGTTTTAATTGATATAAATACACAAAGCCCATCCGGATTTACGTTGTTGCATGATGCAGCAAAGAGGAAGAATCTGGATATGGTGCAGTTTTGTTTGAATCGTGGAGCGGATGTGTCTATACGCGATCGAAAACGAAAAGTGGCAGCAGATGTTACCAAGGACGAGAGGATTAAGAATATGCTTAAGCATGGTAGGTTAGAAATGAGAAATCTAAAATGGGAAGTGGTTCGGGAGATACTAATGGTGACATGCGGGCGATGTTTATTAGAGGACCTTTTTTAGATAATCTTTTTAATATTATAAACTGTATCCACCGCAATATCGGATTCATATTTACTCACCAAGTATACGATATATATATTAGTCGTACCACCCATGTCAAATGAAATATCATCGTTACCAAATCAACCACCGAAACTAAAGGGCAACTTGTTAAAATGGACAAACTATGCAGGAGGTTATAAAAGTCGATGGTTTGTGCTTGAGAACGGTAAGATCTTGATATTATGATCAATTATCCACCGATATTTATTAACTTTATACCCCTTGAATTTTTCAATTCACAATATTCAACTTTCTTAATATATTCATGTTGTTTGTTTTTAAAAAGGGATGCTGTCTTATTTCAAAAATCGGGACGATGAAGGTAGTTCATGTCGCGGATCGATTAATATGAGACTAGCAGAAATCATCATTGACAAATCGGACGCCCAGAGATTTGAAATAATAGGAAAAGGATCAGTGAGATATCATTTACGCGCTATGCAACCCAACGAGGCTAAAAAGTGGATAACGGCACTCACTCATTCGACGATGCAATTTGATAAGAATGAAAAGATTAGTCGAACAAGTACCGCGGATGATTTAGGCAATGACGAATCACCACGCCCAGGTCGAAGCAAACATAAACCCGAAGCGCATAATAATAATTCTGTTAATACACAAACTTCCGAATCAACTCAAGATACTTCAGATAGAGATAGGTCGAGATCATCTTCGGATGAATCGATAGAGGTAAATGGAACTCCACACGAGGACAACTATCAAATGGCAATAAGTAACGCGAGAGTTCAGCTGGGTCTCCAAAAACAATTGTTGGGTTCATTACTATCAATGGTGCCCAACCCACCATTGCCAAATTCCAAAGAATCTGCAACAGTAGAATTATTTAATAAATCCCTTACAGTACTTCAATCCCTGGTGGATGATGTACTTCGAATGTCCGAGGAACGAGACACTTATTGGCAAGAGAAATTGGAGAAAGAATTGAAGACTAAACGATTGTGGGAAGATAGCATGCGAGAGTTGGTGATAGAACAGACCGAAATGGAAGAAGAGATCCAATATAATGTGATGGAGCAGAAGATTCGAAAAAAACAACTGAAAGCCGCTATTGCTGAAGGACAAATCCCACCGTCAAGCCCATTGTTGAATACACTCTCGGAAACTTTTGATCGTTTGTCGAACAAATCAGATGAATTTTCATCGGCCATTTCCCATAGTAGAAGTGCTACAGATCTGAGTAATCGACGATTGTCGCTGGAACGATCAAATACCCTCATATCAACATTGGCCGATGAATACGATTCTGATGATGAATTTTATGACGCAATTGATGAAGGATCAACATTGGAAGAGAGCATACAGTCCGACGTCAGAACTAAATTAGATGAAACTGGTGGCATCGGTGTGATGATGCCATACATTGCCAGTTCGTATCATGGATATCCGGAGAATACGAGAAATCTACTGCCACTCGATCAGAAGTCTTCACGTCCTGACTTGTCGTTATGGTCGATATTAAAGAATTCGATAGGCAAAGATCTGAGCAGAATTACGATACCGGTGTACTTTAATGAGCCGACGTCGATGCTGCAACGTTTGGCTGAAGATATGGAGTACAGTGAGCTGTTGGATATTGCGGCACGACAGAAGTGCAGTACCGAACGAATATTGTATGTAGCAGCGTTCGCGATGAGTAATTATTCGAGTACAGTAGGGCGAATTGCAAAACCTTTTAACCCATTGTTGGTACGTCCTTACATGTACATGAGAATATGAATGAGTCTCCGTGTTAACCCAGTGTATCAATACTAACATATAATTTCAGGGAGAGACTTATGAGTATGTGAGACCCGACAAAGCATTTCGTTATGTCTCGGAACAAGTTAGTCATCATCCGGTAAGTTTGATTTTCACTTGTCCGAAATGAAATTTCCCTTAATCTTACCGAAACTTGACTCGTTCTTTCCATTATAGCCCATAAGCGCGTGTTACTGTGAATCTCCGAACTATGATTTCTTCTCCGAGATTGACATGAAATCTAAATTTTGGGGCAAGTCATTTGAAATTTTACCGCAAGGAGTTTCTCATGTAAACCTTAAGGTCCCTCAGGATCACTGGCCACGTCATGTGGAGGGATCGCCAGAAGAATTTGCGGCTCGGGGAAATCCCAATGCGTTCGCCGAACACTATTCATGGAAAAAGGTGACTACCTGTGTTAATAACTTGATAGTTGGTTCACCGTGGATAGATCACTATGGAGATATGGTGATCTTAAATCATTTAACGGGTGACAAATGCGTGCTAACATTTAAAGCACGAGGATGGCGAGGAAAGGATGCATTTGAGATACGAGGATACATTAAAGACCATAATGATAAGGAGATATGGGAAATCGCAGGACGATGGAATGAACGGTTGGTGGCGAGGAGAAGCAATGCAAATTTACTCTCAATACAGGAGGATGACCTAGGCAGCGATAGGGCAGCGTTGAATGCCACGTCTACAAGTGAGAATGGTGTACTACCATCACCTTCGCCTTTAAGTTCGACGCAAACAAATAGAAGACCCATTTACTTACTGTGGAAACGAAACCCGTTGCCAGAAGAACCATTGTTATTTAACTTGACTCCATTCGCTGTAACACTAAATGACCTCCCTGACTCACTGGCGAACTGGATAGCGCCCACCGACAGCAGACTGAGACCAGACCAACGAGCCTTGGAGAATGGATTGTATGATTTAGCAAATTCGGAAAAGATGAGACTGGAAGAGAAACAGCGCGAGAAACGAAAAAACCGCGACCAGGACCTGAGGAGGAATCACGCAGCGCGATGGTTTCGAAGAGCTATTGAACCCGATACAGGTGAAAATTATTGGGAGTTTAACCATGAGTATTGGGAGGAACGGGAACGAGTCGGCAAGGAAAAGATGGAAGGTAATGAAGGACTATGGAATGTTGATGATGATGATATTTTTTAAAGGTGTGATAATCATAGAACAAGATAATAGAGAATATTTGTTCAGCTAAAATCAGGCGTTGTGACATTTATTTTGGACATATTTAATCAATAGTGATAATATGTTTAAGTTAAAATCCGATCTCTTTTAGATTGGATTAAAAATTATATTGTATATTTAAGATTTTTTAATATTCAAAATGCTACAAATTGATAGCAAAAAGGATATGGTCTAATATTATTTAAACAGAAACTTGCCAATTGGATTATTAATTAATATAATAAATAATATTTTTGTATCATAAAATTTGAAATACAATTATTTACTGTAATTTATATGTACCGACTTCGTCATCGAATCACTTACGTAATCCCAAAATCGATATAAGTGATTTAGTTTACTACTACTCGAATAGCATTACTCGTAAAGATGCCACCGAAAGAAAATTGGGAGAAATGTAAGTAAAAAAATTTTTTAAGATCGCTGTTGGAGAACGCCATGCACTGTAAGTGGTGTTAAATCGAAACCGAATAACAATGTCTTTACCACTGTTGCTTGCAGCTAAATCAAAAATATTCAAAATTTACTCTACATATTAATTTTCCTTAACGACACTAATGAAACCTTTGATTTTATAGATGACAAGTCGGTCGATGAAAAAGAAGAAGAAAAGATCATTGGTACGTACTCGTTTTTACAGAGTATTTTAACATTCGTTTCGTTTAATCAGCGTGTTTTCTCGGAAATAGCTCTTGACGAAAATGATATTGCTCTATTGAAGACATACGTAAGTTTATGGACAGTCAAAAGTCGTTATATTTAGTTGTTACGCCCGAAATTGATTTAATTTGCATGAATAGGGTCAAGGACCATATGCGAAGGAGTTAAAGAAAATCGACAATGATATCAAGGATATACAGAAAAGGATAAATGAAAAAATAGGTAATCACGCGTTCATAAGCTCAATACTTTAAAGGAGTTGAGTTGATATGTCGATTATCTTAATAGGTGTAAAGGAATCTGATACTGGCCTCGCACCTCCAAACCTTTGGGATATTCCTGCGGATAGACAAAGAATGCAAGAAGAACAACCTTTGCAGGTATGTAATTAGGGAAATCATGCAGGTTACCTCAGTATTATTCAATAAAACCATGAAATTAATCGTAGGTTGCCCGTTGTACGAAAATTATCCAAGCTGGAGAGAATGATGATTCCAAGTACATCATAAATGTTAAGCAAATTGCAAAATTTGTTGTTGCTTTGGGCGACCGCGTTTCACCGACTGATATCGAAGAAGGAATGCGCGTTGGGTAAGTCTTCCATATTATAAAGGGAATTACCGAATCGTGTCGCGTAAGCCTACCCATAACCCCATATTTCAGCATTATTTTGAAGAACTAATATAATTATAATTTTTAACGATGGGTAGAGTCGACCGTAATAAGTATCAGATTCAAATTCCATTGCCACCAAAAATTGACCCTTCAGTAACAATGATGCAGGTTGAGGAAAAACCTGATGTCACTTATAGTGATGTAGGCGGATGTAAAGAACAAATTGAAAAACTCAGAGAAGTTGTTGAATTGCCATTGCTTCAGGTCAGCATATACTCTAGTGATATCTCCTGAATTATGAAGCGCACTTATCGATCTCGTGATTATATTTACAGCCTGAGAGATTCGTGAGTCTTGGCATCGATCCTCCTAAAGGCGTTTTATTATATGGACCTCCTGGGACCGGGAAAACACTTTGTGCTCGTGCGGTAGCAAACCGCACCGATGCCACTTTTATTCGCGTTATTGGTTCTGAACTTGTACAAAAGTATGATTCACACGTCTTTCACCAAATTTTTTCTTAGGTCTATTAACGTTTTGGATAATTTCGATCATTAGATATGTCGGTGAAGGAGCGCGTATGGTTCGAGAATTGTTTGAAATGGCGCGTACAAAAAAAGCTTGCATCATTTTTTTCGATGAAGTAGACGCTATCGGAGGTAGGCATATTTTTGCGATGCTTACTTAACCTTTGGTCACCACGATTATCTAACCTTTTTTCTTTTAGGTGCGCGTTATGACGATGGGGCGGGAGGTGATAATGAAGTGCAGAGAACAATGTTAGAATTGATAAATCAATTAGACGGTTTCGATCCACGAGGAAATATAAAAGTTTTAATGGCTACTAATCAGTACATGAACTATAATTTTGTCTGATCTACCTTTTATTTGGCATGTTTTTTTTCTTTAATTTAAATTCCATCAAGTCCCGACACTCTAGATCCAGCACTTTTGCGTCCGGGACGTTTGGACCGTAAAGTTGAATTTTCTCTGCCAGATTTAGAGGTATGTGGATGTGCAAAAAAATATACATATATATATGAAGTTGCTAACTTTCTTTGATATAGGGTCGTGCTCACATATTGAAAATTCATGCTAAAAGGTATATATGCATATGCATGTGTTGGCATATTAAATGTTATGCTAATCTCATTGCAATTTTTAGCATGTCGGTTGAACGCGATATTCGATACGAATTGATTGCGCGACTATGTCCAAATAGTACCGGTATGTTAAACGTAATTAACATCTGAGATTAATCTGGTTCGATTGACAATTAATTCTATGTATAGGTGCTGAGTTACGAAGTGTGTGTACCGAGGCTGGAATGTTTGCAATTAGATCGAGGAGAAAGGTAGTCGTCCGTTTTTTGTTCTATTGTTATGGTAGCCGCCTTAATTAAATCCATGATTACTAGGTCGCGACTGAAAAGGATTTCTTGGAGGCTGTAAACAAAGTTATCAAGGTTTGTTGTATGCATAGATATACATTGGTTGATTATTTTCTTTTCGTCAATAATAAAATTTTCCTTTGTGTTAGTCATATGCCAAATTCTCTTCGACACCAAGGTACGAAATTCTTTAGTATTATATTTTAATTGATTTTAATATACATATATATATATGTTCATTCTTATTTCTATAAAATTTTATAGATATATGACCTATAACTAAAACAGAGAGGATTGATTTGAAAAGTCCAGGAATGCACAACCAAATTTAAGAGTCCGTAAGAATTACATTATTATGTGTTCTCAGATAAAAGAAAAATTGGATTTTATACTCCGTGTATTTAATATAATGTATATCTTAATAAACTGATCGATTGAGTTCACGTGAAACTACATGATATATTAAAACAGGCATATTTGTCAGATTATTAAATTATTTTATAATCAAAAAAGATTTATTGTTATATTTATTTGACTATTGTCTTATATATTGTTAACTGAAATCTTTAAATAAAATATTGAGTCGAGTTAAATTTTTAATAGAATTTTAATTTAATTAAATAAAAAATCTTTTATTTTTTATAAAGTAAATACAATTTGTAAAAAAAATTTTACTTTTTTTTTTTTAATTTTGTTTGATAATTTTCTTAAAAAAAAAAACAATCCAGTTCAAAAATATTTGATATTAACAATTTCAAAACATATTTAAAAAGGTAAATATTATATCTATTAACTTTTTATTCTTTTTTTAAAAATTTTAAAAAATAAAAAATATGTAAATTTATTTACAGTTAGAGAAAAAAAAGTCAATTATTAATCTTATAATATTTACTATTAAACTAATATTAGGTAACACTTTTTTTAATACTATAAATAATATTAAATTCAATAAGTTAATAATATAAATTGGGTTATTTCAAAGTTATTAAAGTTTAAAAATTTTTTTTTTTTTAATCCACAATCATGCTACAATGACATATCTTTATTGAGATATTAAGAAATATTTAAATATTTTACAGACTTTCACAAAGTGACTAACTCATTATTGTACATTATTAGTTAAAGAACTATACTACTTAAAA